TTTTAATTGCTCCAGAATATTGTAAGTTTCAACATATTCTTTGGCGTGCGTCACCACATGACCAGTTACAAGATTATAAGCTCAACACAATCACGTACGGGGTAAATTGCGCACCGTACCTCGCCACAGGGCCGGCGTTAAGGGGGGGCAAAACGGGGCATTTGTCCAGGGCCTCGCACTCTCAAGGGCCTCGCGCTTTAAAAATTACATTGAAAAATATTTTGTATGGAGATCTTGTAATAAAACAAAACAACAATGTAATATAATATTAAATATGTATACACCAACGTCAATGGTATGGCACGCAGCACGGTATGGGAAACCTGGATTCCTAGAAAGATTATCGCATTTCTATTTAGTCATTACCCGTTATCGCGAGCAGCTGTCACATCGTGAGTCGTTATTGCGTCTGTAAATTACATAATAATATGCCGACTATACTGTCTATACTTCGATAACGTCGATAGCTACTATATTATATAAACGATTTAATATATTTAATATACCTATTTTGAGAATTTGTGTGCTAACGATTAGTGACAATCCGAAGATTTTCAATTGTTTTTCGACTGTCATCCAGGTTGTTTGAAGTGTATTGAAAATTACAATTTATTTCTCCAGGTAATAATTGTTAAAATATTGAATACCTAGTTTAATGATTTTAAATACTTTCTGAGCGTGTAGGTACACACGAAATATCTTGATCTGTGTATTGTGTAAAAAACATCGTAATTTGTCAATATATTTAATATATTATTTTTATTTTTAATTCGTTATTAGGAAACAGAAAAAAACTAATTAGATAATATGAGTAGTCGGCAGCGAGATAAGTATCGTAAATTTGATTCAGGCCACCAAAAACGATTGAGAAAACTTAAACTTGAGCAAAATCTAGAAAAGCAACGTGGTGCTTTAGACCAATTTGTTTTTTCTTCAAATATTCCGGAGATTGTCCAAAACGAAACTGAAAATTATGAAGATGAGTTAATGTTGTGTGATATAGTACAACCGTGTTATTCCAAAGAACTTGTGACTCAAAATAGTATTGAGGTAGTTGAAAAAGATAATAGTTTAACATTTAATAATAAAATAGTGAATAAAACCAAAGAAGATGAGTTAATGTTGAGTGATATAGAACAACCTTGTTGTTCTAAAGAATTTGTGACTCAAAATAGTATTGAGGTAGTTGAAAAAGATAGTAGTTTAACATTTAATAAAAAAAATAGTGAATAAAAACAATGAAGGAAGAATTGATTTTAGAGATCCAGCTCGGTGGCCACAGTTATTAACCCATGATATGCGAGTTGAAATTGTTCTTAGTAAATCTGAAAAAATCGAATTTTACGAAAATTATCCGAAAAATGAACAAAAAAGGAAATTTAGTAATAAATTGTATTATAGAATAATGAAAAATGGTGAAAAAATAGCAAGAAATTGGCTGTTGTACTCAAAATCACATGATCGAGTTTATTGTTTTTGTTGCAAACTTTTTAGTTCACAATTAAAAATTCCAAATCCTGGTAGCTTAACTGACAATGGCACTTCAGATTGGAAACATATAGCATTAAAATTGGAACAACACGAAAATTCATCTTCACATAAACAAACAATTCTATCTTGGAAGGAGTTACAAACACGAATTATTTAAAACGAAACTATTGATGATTTACATTTAAAGGAAATAGATAAAGAAAAGCAATATTGGAAAGATGTACTGAAACGAATTTTATCAGCAATTTTTTATTTGGCAAAACATGGTGATGCATTTCGGGGATCCTCAGATGTAATTTATACGGAACATAATGGTAAATTTTTAGGCCTCATAGAGATGATGGCCAAATTTGATCCAGTTATTCAAGAACATGTTCGTCGGATAAAAAATGGTGAAACTCATGATCATTATTTAGGTCACCAAATACAAGATGAACTGATTGAACTTATAGCACAACAAATTCGTCAACAGATTGTAGAAGATATCAAAGAAGCTAAATACTTTTCTATAATGATGGACTGCACGCCAGATGTTAGTAAAGAAGAGCAACTTTCTATAATTATTCGTATTTTAGATATGGGAATCAAAAGTATGTCTACAATACCTTGCATCAAAGAATATTTTATTGAATTTATTAATGTTCATTCTACTACTGGATATGATTTAACAAATATTTTATTGAACAAATTAAATAGAATAGGTATTGATCTAAAAGATTATCGTGGACAAGCGTATGATAATGGTGCCAATATGAAAGGCCAATACAAAGGGGTTCAATCAAGAATAATAGCAAAAAATCCTAGAGCATATTTTTCACCATGTGCATGTCATAATTTATATTTGTTGTTGGGCGATATAGCAAAGAGTTCCACAGTAGCGGTTGGGTTTTTTGGCACTATACAAAGAATATATTGTTTGTTTGCATCTTCTACAAAACGCTGGGGTATTTTTAAAAAACATTGTACATTCTTAATACTAAAACCCCTTTCAGAAACTAGATGGGAATGTAAAGTCAACAGTATCAAAGCTATACGCTACCAAGTACCTGAACTTATTACCGCATTAGAGGAAGTGGCTGATAATACTTCAGATCCAAAAACGAAAAGCGAAGCTCAGTCATTAGTTACAAATGAACTAGAAAGTTATGAATTTATTCTTAGTTTGATCATTTGGTATGAAATATTAGTCGAAGTAAATACTGTAAGCAAAACTTTACAAAATATTAATATTCATTTGGATAAATGTAGTAACCTTTTAAATGGTCTTATACAATTTTTAAAATCATTTCGAATGAATGGTTTTGAATCTTCAAAAATTAAAGCTAATGAAATATCAGATGTCTTGAATATTGACAAAACATTTAAAAAGAAGCGTATTAGAAAGACAAAAAAGCAATTTGATTATGAAAATTCTGATGAAATAAATTATGATCCTGAAAACAATTTCCGAACATTTTATTTTAATGTAATAGCTGATGGAGCTATATCTTCATTTAGTCAACGATTTAATCAATTTCAAATTTATAACAACAATTTCAGCTTTTTATACAATATTGGTAAACTTTCAAAAGTAACTAATGACGACCTAATGAAGAATTGTTTAGATTTGCAAAATTATTTGAGTGATGGAGATTTATATGATATAGTTGCTTCTGAATTGTATGAAGAGTTACTAGTTTTTTGTCATACAATGAAAGAAGATTCTACACCTATAGAAGCACTAAGTTTTTTAAAAAAAATGCCCGGTGCTTTTACTGCTTTTCCTAACATCGTAATTTCACTCAGAATTTTGTTAACTATACCAATAACCTCGGCGTCGGCATAAAGGAGTTTCTCAAAGCTCAAAATAATCAAAAATTACCTCAGAAACACAATATCTCAAAAACGATTGACTGAATTGGCTACGATTGCAATAGAAAACGAAACAGCAGATACATTGGATTTTAAAAATGTAATAGAATTGTTTGCATCCAAAAAGTCAAGGAAAAAATTTTAAATATTCAATAATAATTTTGTTTTTTTTTTTGTTTAAATTTATAATGTTTTGGAAGAGCTTAACTCTTTAATATATTAAACTTAATTTAAAAAATTGTTTTATTTTTATTATTTTTTATTAAATTGTTGCCTTTAATTACATATAGGCATAAGCTTATAAGAATATAAACTATAAATAACTATAGTTATTGCATTATTGGTTAAATAAGTTAAAAAGTTTTGCCCAGGGCCTCGCAAAAAGTAGCGCCGGCCCTGCCTCGCCATTCGTGTGTTACAACAAATTGCAGATTGTGACTGTGCCGAATTTCCATCCGTCCGTAAGGCATTGTTGTTCCACACATATGTTGACGATATATGCGTCGGTGCCGACTCTGAAGACGCAGCAATAGAATTACAGTCCGCATTAATCACTGTCCTTGGCCGTGCTGGCCTGGAACTGAAGAAATGGTCCAGCAATACTCCTTCAGTTTTAAATAAAGTGTCTCCGGAAGACAGGGCGAAGGGTGTATTGCCATTTGATGAAGGGGATGGAATCAAAGTTCTGGGTCTTCGTTGGAATCCACATGATGATGCATTCACTTACGAGTTCCAGATTGAGAAGTTGGTAGCTACAAAAAGAGGGATGCTATCTTTGACCCGAATATTTGACCCCTTAGGCCTGTTGTCGCCGGTCGTATTTTTGGCGAAATACTTCATGAATCTTGTGTGGCAGTCTAACGTGTCGTGGGATGAACCATTACCACTTTCCGTCAGTGATATTTGGCACCAGTTTGTGTCAGAATTGCCAGAACTTCGGAAACTGTGTATTCCGCGCTTTGTTCATACGCGCTCCGGTATGCGCGTTGTGTTATGCGGTTTCTGCGACGCATCTGAACGTGGATACGCAGCGGTTGCTTATATCCGCTCTGAAGATTCATCCGGCTGTTCACTCGTATCCTTGCTAGGTTCCAAAACCAAACTCGCTCCGATGACTGCATCAACGATCCCACGATTAGAGTTATGCGGCGCAGTCCTCCTCGCAAAGTGGATGTCTCGGATCAAAGAGACACTTAGCATAGATTTGGAAGTCGTTGAGACTCATTGAGACTCATGCGTGGTCAGACTCTACAATTGTACTGAACTGGTTGGCCGTGCGCCATGTGACATTTAAAGTGTTTGTATCGAATAGAATTCACCAAGTACAGTCACTACTACCGGACTGTCATTGGCACCATATCTCGTCGGAGGATAATCCAGCCGACTGTGCGTCCCGCGGATTGCTACCATCTCAACTAGCGAACCATGTACTGTTTTGGAAGGGTCCGGCGTTTCTTACGTCACCTACAATCGAATGGGTTACCCATGTTCCTTCCATCGAGCTAGATCAGCTCCCCGAGTGTAAGGAGGAGAGTCCTACTGCATTACTCGTCGAAACAGAATCGGAATGGTACTCTCGTTTCTCGTCGTATGTGCACATGATTCGCGTCATCGCCTATGTTCGTCGTTTTATCATGCGCTGCCGTAGCCGCCAGTAAATGTTCGAGCGTTACCTCACGCGTCGCGAGCTCGATTCGGCATCATTGGTAATTGTACAATCTTCCCAACAAACATTTTTCAGTAAACTTCGTCATGAGTTGAATTGTTCCAAACCAATATCGGCGCGGTCTGTTGCGCGACTTCGACCTTATCTTGATGATAATGAGATACTCCGTGTGGGTGGTCGGTTATCCAACGCGGACATACCGAACGAACAACGACATCCAATCTTGTTAGCGAAGTCATCACATTTGTCCATACTATTAATACGGCATTGGCACGACATCACCGGTCACAGTGGTCCCCGCGTCATAACAGCACTCTTGGGAGGTCAATATTGGATCATGTCATTGGGCACTCTAATCCGTACGGTTATCAGTCACTGTACGCGTTGCGTCAGACTGTCGGGCGCTAATCCGCAACCGGTTATGGCAGATTTACCGCGATCGCGCGTAACCGAATGTCGCCCTTTCTCCCGTGTAGGGATTGATTACGCAGGGCCCTTACTGATGAAAGAGCATCGTCTTCGGAAGGCGCGTCAATACAAAGTTTATATAGCGGTATTTGTCTGCTTCGCAGTTAAAGCAGTACACCTTGAGGTTGTATCTGATTTATTCACTGATGCCTTTATTGCCGCGCTCAACCGGTTTGTAGCCCGTCGTGGCCTTCCTACGGATATTTACTCAGACTGTGGAACAAATTTCGTTGGCGCCGCAGCCCAGCTCAAGGATCTTATTAACCATCGTGACAACCAAAGTCGACTGTCAGCATCTATACAATCTGTTTGGCATTTCAATCCCCCCGGCGCCCCGCATTTTGGTGGCCTTTGGGAAGCGGCAGTTCAATCAGCCAAGAAACTTTTAATCCGCATCATGGGAGAGCATACGTTTACTCTGGAAGAGTTTAACACCATATTGTGCCGTGTGGAGGCTATATTAAATTCGCGCCCACTCACCTCAAGTTCTACCGATCCTAGTGAAATTGACTACTTGTCACCAGAACATTTTTTTATTGGTCAACCACTACTGGCGCCACTAGAAGAAGTCATAGCGCCCACTCAATATTCACTGAATAACCGTTGGAAGCTGCTCAACCAATGCGCTCAAGCCTTTTGGCGTCGCTGGAGGGACGAGTACCTTCAAATCTTGCAAACAAAAGGACGATGGACGGCTGATGCTCCCAACCTGGCAGTGAATGATATTGTTATTATCAAAGACCCACAATCACCGCCTTTAACGTGGCGAATGGCCCGTATCTTAGAAACAGTGTCAGGTACCGACGGTGTTGTGCGTGTCGTGCGCCTCCGGACGTCCACAGGAACTTTGACCAGGCCCGTGCGCAAAGGAGGGGTTTTGGGGGTTCAAACCCCCCCCCCCCATGGCCGAAAAAATCGTGTTTTTCATGTTTGATCTTTTACCTATATGTCATATTTTCTAATCTTATTTATAATAAATAATAATGCATAACATAATAGTACAATACTATAGTAATATAATATAGTGTTGTCTTCACATTTGCTGTTTATCGACTTTCGTAATCGTTGCCGTTATCGATTAAATATAATGACAATAAATGTATGAATATAAGTATAGTCATATAGAGCATACAAGTCGCACAATAATATTTTATTCGACCGCAATTAGTAGAACACGAGATTACACGATAACGGATTTCGGGTATTTTAAAAGTTGTTTATAATCGTAGTTCGTACACAACGATTGTAAGCTCACAGTGAGACGTTAGTTATAGTGTTACGTTAGATTGTTAGAAATAACATCAAAATGGACATTGAAAGTTTTTCAAAACCAGCTAGAAATGATGAGAGTATAGTACAATAAATTACTAATTTATAAATAAATATAATATATTTATAATAATATTATAAATTATTATTATTATTATATTTAATTTTATTTCGAAAATAGTTTAATAACCAATCACAACCACGAACTAGCGAAAACGCATCTCCAGAAACAAATTATCAATGTCAATTCCAGATTGTGCACCAACATTATTAAGATTTATATGAATAAACCTGCAACGAAACTATTGACTTGTTTCGATTCAAATTTGATTTGGACACCTTCAGAAGACTATAAATTCCCTGTTTCCGAAAAAGAAATTTCAAATTTCAAAGAAGTTGGTTGCTCAAATATAAATGGATTTATTCAGCAATTTGAATGGCTATTTGAAGGTTGTGTGTTGTTTTCTGTCGAGGTGGAGGATTGACATCAAAAGTTGGGACTGTTAGTTAAAACCGTTACAAACTGGAAAAGCTTTAGAATCATTTAGTTACCATAACTCACTAGAGTATCATAAATCATTATTAAAATCAAATGAGAGCAGAAATTGATAACCAAAAATTTACCAGTGATTTACAAATTCGAAACAACAATTAGATTTCATTAATAAAAGTAGCAATACGTAACTGAACGAAGTAATACCGTA